CAGAGAAAGTCAAAATATTATAAAAATTTAAAAAATACCAAAGTTTCACGTTTGCTTAAAATGAAATAAATCAGTTCGCATTCAATTCAATTATTCCTTTTTGAGAAATAATATGCTCCGTAATGATTTATAATTAACTCTTTTATAGATTTCACGTTTGTTTCCGAAGGTGGCCGACGTGTCCTCAAGGTGGCACCGGTGTCGGGTCACCTTGGGAACATGCATATGGTCTCTCTCACCATTTGCACGACTAAAACTATTAATCTGACAGATTAATTCGAATTAAAGTAATGTGGTTAAAGAAAAAGAAATAAACTTTCAGAAAACATATCAAAACTCTAAGTTCTAAGAATTTAAACACATATAAATTACAATATCTTCTCGTCCGGAACTTAGAACAACNGCGCTGAACGATGATCCTACAAGACTCCTAAAACACTCCTTTGAAAGGCCTGTCATATTGCTGTCTATTTGTGACATCCTACGAAATTCTTTCTTCTGACACTTTACGGATATGACTGTTCCAGGAGTGTTCGGAATGTTTTGGGATGTCTTTAGGACGAAATTTGCTGTATGGGATATCTTCTCGTCCGGAACTTAGATCAACTGCAAAAAATTAAATCACTTCATACAATGGAGGCCATTCAGGAAAATATCTTCCAATTTAGCCTCTTGCACCTCAGATACAAGATTTACAATGCAGCAGGGAAATCTTATGATTTAAAATAAATTTCTTTGAGGGTTGGGCTACGTTAGGAGCACTGGCCACCTTTGGCCTACCCACCTTTTTTAATCAAAACACACTAAATTTAAAAAAAAAGACTAATAATTTTTAGTGACTTCCTTGGGCTTGTCTTGAAGAGCAATGTTTTTTTGAGGTGAGGCCTAATATTAGAAATAACCACTCTCAGTTCTGTTTCTATATTTAGCCGTGACTCTCTATCACCCATCCAGGCTATTGCTGCACATAATGTTGCAGAGTCAAATATTATTGACTCTTGACTCTTGCAGAAGAAATTGATTATTGATTATTATATATTGATTATTGACTCTTACAGAAGAAATATAATTCTCTTAGCTTCTGAGGGAAGGACTGTTGTTCTGCAGTGGATTCCATCTCATGTAGGAATAAATGGTAACGAATGGGTAGATACATAAGTAAAGAAGGGAACAGAGATTTTGCAGACAGGTAATGCCAAAGTACCATTTTCATCAATTAAAAGAATTATAAAAAATATTGCGAAGAAAAGCTATGATGCTAATTTAGTAGAAGAAATCAAGAATAAGAAATGGAGGTATTCAATTAATAAAATTCAAAACTCCACTAGATCCACTGCAGTGGCGACGTTCCGTCTGGAGACTGGACATGACTGCCTTGCTAAACATCTATACAGAATTGGTATATTTGGCAGTCCCATGTGCACTTTGTGCAACCAGAACTTTAAGATGGACAAAGATCATTTGCTCAGTTGTTCTTCATTAAAAGAAGAAAATTTATTCAGTCGATATTGGCGAGCTAGGGAGTTGATGCAATTGGTATCCAGCGACTGATTCTCGTTTATGTTTAAGTAGTTCACGTTTTGAAAGTATTTATTGTTCTTGCTATTATAGTGTTCTTGTATTGTTCAATGGTTCAGTTTTTGTTTTATATGCTCCAATCTCATGCATCTTCGATGCATGGGGGCCAATGATGTAAAATCAAGTGCTTTTGCAATTAAAAAAAATATTTAGCCGTGATCTATATTTTGTCTTCAAAGAAGCCACAGCAGAAAATCCAGTTTCACAAAGGTTGGGTGTTAAAAATGGTAATAGAATGAGAAAGGCTCTTGTTTTTAGTGCAGAAAAATCATCCTCCTGCCCAAAATTCAAATAATGATTTTTTACTAAATTGTATTTTGGTTTCGCCACTTGTCGCCACTTCCTCATCAATTGAGAATCCTTCGGGAGTCTTATGAAATGGATTCCTCCTAACCCACTCTTAACTTCCTATCAGTTTGTCGTCAGAAGGAAAATACTTTTTAAAATTCCATGCCAGCATGGTTAAATGATTTTCAATGCTTACAAAAATAACTTTTACATGTTCTTCTTTAGCCTTATAAGTTTTAGTACAATTATCCACATTTGCAAACATTGTTAAGTTGTTTCGCTTTAAATTTCTGCCCCACAATTCCAATTTTCTACAAAAAGCATTAACTTTATCACTTGTATCCAACATATGTGTATTTGCTCCTTGGAGTTGAAGATTAAAGTTATTTAATTTCCCGAATATGACGACCAAGTAGCTCAATTTTATCACAAATAAACAATAGGGAAAATTCTCTTCTTCTGTTAATTCTGCTATCTTCTTCTAGGAAAATGGCGATTTCTTCTCTTAATTCATAAACAAGTTGCAAAAATGTCTCGCTTGATAAACATCTTGCCTCGCATTTAAATAGTAACCCTGAATGTACTGAACCCATCACATTACAAAGAGCGGAGAAGATTCTCGATCTCAGGGTTCTCATTTTTACATAATTTGCAACGGTTACAACCGTAGTTAACTCAATATTTAAACCAGGACGCATTTCTTTCGAAGCCAAAGCTTCTCTGTGGATCATGTAATGTGTCCAGACGCATTGAAGAGATTTTTGTTTTACAAGTACTTGTATACTTTCGAACCTTCCGGATATTGAACGAGCACCATCAGTGCATATTCTAATGCAAATTTTGCATTCTCTGTTTGCCTCATTCATAACATCATTTAAAATAGTAAATAATGCTAGAGCTGTTGCTTTGAGTTCTATTGATTTGCAGAAAAGTAGTTCTATTACTGACATATTATCACAAAATCAAACATAGGCAATTAAATGAGCATCTTTATTAATATCTGTTGCTTTATCAAACTGTATTGAAAACATTTTGTCGCGCAACATCGAGAAAAGCTGACACTACATTTTCAGCTGTATCACCAATTCGACGAGCAACAGTATCATTTGAAAGAGGTATGGACTGTAATTGTTTTGAAAAATTAACTCCAAACATAGTTTCTACAATCTCAATTGCTGCTGATTTCTACTTTACTTTTGTTTTGGTAGTTAGTTAAAAATAATTTAAAGACAGAATTAAAAATACTCAATATACATTATTGTTGCATACATTTTACTGCAAGTGGGGGGCGCGATGAAAATTATGATTGAAAACTGGGCCGCGAATACTGAAAGGTTGAGAAACGCTGTCTTACGGCATTTGATTCGTTAGTTCTATTGACTTTGTTTTGGTCTTATTCAATTCAGCGTAAAAATAAAGGATAGAAAATATAACCTCATTTAGCTAGATGGCAATGTCAGACGAATAAATAGCTGTTGAAGAAAATTTTTATTACTTCATTACATGAAATCTTTATAAACTTCTCAACTATTAACATTAGTCCTATTAACGTTAGTTTGTTGTCATAACTCAGTGTTAAAATATTTCTTGCTAGTTTATGTAGATTTTTTTTATAATTTTGCCTCCCTATTTTGATCTCCTCAGATGCTAGCAAATTTTTTTATTAGGCAAATTAATATTGGACCTCAAGCAAAACTTTTAAAACAATATTCATCTTCCAGATAAATTTTCTGTATTCATTTACAGAAAAGGCTAGTTCCGCCTTGAGAGGAACTAGCCTATTTCATAAGTTTGAGAATGCATCATATTTTGCATCTGTTATTTATGATGACACAAAACTATTGTGGCGTCTTTGGGGGATATCATCCCTCCCTCTTCCCTCTCAAGGCGGTTATCAGTTCTTACCATCAGTTCTTACACAGTTCAGGGAGGACATGTTCTTTGTAAAACACGCCTACCAAGGGCATTCCAAGCAGGCTCTATAGGACGCAGGTCTGGGGGATGGCGCAGGTCATTTTGTTGTTGTTGTTGTTCATTTACGTCGCACTAGAGCTGCACAATGGGCTATTGGCGACGGTCTGGGAAACATCCCTGAGGATGATCCGAAGACAAGCCATCACAATTTTGATCCTCTGCAGAGGGGATGGCACCCTCGCTTCGGTAGCCCGGTGCTGACCGGTGAACATTCACCTCTTTTAAAAATGCTGCTGTCGATAATCCTGTCTGTCTTTTACGTTGTAACTTAATATGATTTCTTCTTTTTTAATTATTATTAAACTGTTGTGATTATTAATTTTATTGAATCAATTTATTTAATATTATTTAATCTAATCACCATCGGTAGAGAATTTTGCTCTACGTCACCTCTAGTCCATTTCTATCGCCTATTAGAACGGCTTGTAAACGTTTGTTATTAATGAGCATTCACACTGCACGTTGCTCACACACTTTCAATAGCCGATTATATTGGCGGAAAATTAATTTAACCAATCAAGTTTTCATACTCCCATGACGGTGATCGGAAGTGTATGAATCATAAGCAGTAGGAACGGCTCTTTAAGAATGAGCAATCGCATGCAATGAGATGGTTGTTGCTGTTGTTGTTCATTTACGTCGCACTAGAGCTGCACAACTCACTGGTTTGAGCAGGCTATTTTTAAGAAACACTCACACGTGTGGTTGCATCCCCTCCGAGAAATATTAGAAGTTGCTGTTAATTCATATGCAACAAGCTAGAGCTGCATAATAGACTATTGGCGACGGTCTGGGAAAAATCTCCAATGATGATCCGAAGACATGCCATCAAAATTTTGATCCTCTGCAGAGGGGATGGCCCCCACTTTGGTAGCTCGACGATCTGCATGCGAAATCGAGTGCTTTAGTGTAGAACAGTTTAACGAGGACAAATACCGCACACTCTCGGTCCCTACGCAGACTAAGTGGTTGCCCACACACACACTGACCACGGCCAGTGATTCTTGACTTCGGTGATCTGTTGGGAGCCGTGTCTTAACGATCAGTCCACTGCGAGACTTTTAGAATTTGCAAAGCTGCAAATTGCAAGATGCAATGTCTTCAGCTCTAGTGCGATGTAAAGTAACTACAACAACAGCAGCAGCAAAATAATTGCATGTGAAAAAAAAGACGATTTTGACAAGTGAAAAAATTTTATCCAGTAAAAATGTAAGCAAAAATAGACAGTCGTAAGCTGTGTAAGTAAATAATAATTACAAAGATAAATCGTAGTAAAAATGTTTTGAGATTTTTACTTGGAGATTTGAAATGTAGGTATAATTATGTTATTTAAATCAAGTAACTTGTAAGTTTACGTGATTCTGATGATTCTAAATAAAATTCATTGAATAATTGCTTTTTTTTTGCTATGTAAAATTATGCTCTTTCGTAGGATTCTCTACTATTTTAATGTTTCCTTATATGACAAAAATTAAAAAAAATTTTGTTCCCAAGTCTAACTATGTTTTTATCGATCTACTGAATTTAAATTGTGTTTAATATATTTTAGATAACAACTAACATGTCCTTGGTTGCATACGCAAGCAGTGATGATGACTCTCAAAGTGAAAAAGAAGATGAAATATCTACCGAAGCTTCTCTTCCGAAGAAAAGAGAGCCAGTTAAAATAAGTATTCCATCCTTAAAGGAGGTATATAATTACTTTATTTTTTTCCCTTAAATTATATCACACGACCTATTTTTCGTTCCCGTTTCTGTAACGTTGTTATGTCTACTCGAATACTGGATTTACGTAAAGGATTTTTTTAAAGCTTTTTTTGCTCTGTCCTTTGGCTATTAATTGCTATAAAGTATGTATTTGTTACATGGCTGTAGGATTTTCTTCTTTAAACTTGGGGAAGCAAAGTTATAAATTGAATATACACCAATACATTTTCATAACCTTGTATACTTTAAAATATATATATATATATATATATA